GGTGTGCAATTAATTTGTCTACGAGATTTTATTCTATTTTTAAAACTTTAAGTATTTAAAATGGATTAAAAATCATGTCTATAGCCCGAGTTCCCATCCCCTGTTATTTTATATAAGAATATACGAGAAAGTTTAGGGGAGATCACTCCCGGTTTATTAATTTTTATTTTTGGTATGTTGTATTTTTAAATGGCTTACTTCCCTTTTCATAGAGCAATTTAACCAGATAATTACCTTTCCATGGCAAAATATTCAATGTTGGCTTAGAATATCTTTAAAAATATATATTTAAATGAACTCTTAATTATTAACATTATTATGCAATCGTACAATTTGTTCATAATGCAAATTATTTTCTTACAGGTTGTAAATACGAGAAGTATAAAGTTTATTTAATTGAAAGAAAGTGTTGTACAAAAAGAAGCTAAAAATAAAAATATACAAACTGTTTTGATTTGGTCTGTTTTCAACATGTATTGATGTGCCCTTGTCATGTCTGTTTCAACTCCACACGTATGTTAAGCTGTGATTGATGTTGATGGTTGACTTATCGCTGACGGCGGTTGTAATCGAATAATCAACTGCAGTTACGTTGCTAATGCGAGACAGGCAAACAATCAACATACTTTGTGTTAAGAACTGATTAGAAAAAATTTAGCATTTGAAATATGTTTGAAATGTATGTATGAAATATGTTTCCAAAAAGGCAATCGAAATCGTTTTTAATCCAAACATGTTTAAAAAGTAAAACTTTAATTGTCGCTGCAAAATTTCTCACAGAAAAATATGTGACGGACAATGCTTAAAATTCGCCACCCTATACAAAGGTTAAAAACTGTCAGCAGAATACGAAATAAACCCATTTTGTATTTTGTCTTAGGGTTGGGCAATGGGTTGGAATAAATTGTCTCCAGAAAGGTACGCTGTTTGGGTCATAGGGTGTAAGCATACAGCTAACACTAACATTAAGTTGAGTTACTGTTAGCTAAAATTGTAGTTGATAGATCATCAGGGGTCATCCATAAATGACGTCACACTCGTAGGGGGAGGGGGGGGGTCCGTAATTTTGTGACGGTGTCTGGAGATGGGGTGATGTTAGAAACTGAGTTTTAGACGTTATTTCGCGGTTTAGAAAACTGTTTGAATAAATTGTAATAGGAATTGATTAAAATGCTCAATGTTGACAGAGTTCAGACACGCTTTTGGTAAAATATCGATGTTTTAAGAAAGTTTTAAAATGCAATTATTTTAGGGGTGGGGGGGGGTAGTAGGCTGAGGTCTGACGTCATTTTAGGGAGGGGGGTCTGGCTTTTTGTGACGATGTGTGACGGAGGGGCGGGGGGTGGGAGATAAAAAAAAATCGTCCAAAAAAGAGTGACGTCATTTATGCATGACCCACTAACCACCAGTGCGTGAATGCTCCATTGTATGGCTAAGGCTCTTGTTGTTGCGGATTTTTTCATTAAACGGCATTCTATATCGGAAAAATACATAGAAATGGTGTAAAATTCCATATTAAGTCAGCAGTAAAAAATAATCCGGGAGTGATCTCCCCTAAACTTTCTCGAATATTCTTATATAAAACAACAGGGGATGTGAACTCGGGCTATAGACATGATTTTTAATCCATTTTAAATACTTAAAGTTTTAAAAATAGAATAAAATCCCATAGACAAAAGAATTGCACACCAGGGAACGCCAAATAAAAAAGCGCATAATAGTGCGCAACATTATTAGTACTTTAAAAATTTACATTAGTTTTTTGAGAAATCGGAAGTAGCGTAAATTACTACTTCCGGTCAACGGAAATTACTCAAAATTTAACAGAAGGTAGAGAATTAGAACTTTTACTTACATGTGAAATTTCATTTATCTATCTGAAATAGTACTCAAGTTATAGGCTTTTGAAAAATTCATAGTAGAAAAAGTTCCACTTCCGGTTATCGGAAATCGCTCAAAAGTTGATACGGATCTACGATTTTGATAAAATACTTATATATGAAATTTCATCAACCTAGCTGTAACGGTACTCAAATAATCGTGTTTACACACAGACACACACACAGACAGACAGACAGACAGACAGACAGACAGACAGACAGTCACACAGACATACGGACAAGATTGCAAAATTATGTTTTTCCGTATCAGTGAGGTGTAAAACGTCGAGATTTGTAAAAATCTCGATTTTTTTTTTGCACGATTACAATACTTTCTCTATACTTCGTATACACGAGAAAGTAAAAATGGTGATTTTAGTTCTGAAAATAAATCAAATAACTTTTATTTTCAAATTTTATGTGTAAAACGATATTTATTTACAATCTTTAAACAAGAGATTTCCACGAGAAATTTAATTAGGTCGCAAGCAAGATGTGGGTTAATTAGTGGAAACTTATGAATGGAAGGGTGGGTAATCAACAGCATCAGATACAGTGTTTCTTCCAGACTTTTTTCTCCGGGGGGGCACTTGAAATTTTCGGGGGGGGGGGGGGGTGGGGGGGGGTAGACTTTCTTCGGGGGGGGGGCGGACACTGTTAAAAGTATATATTTTCTATATAAATTATATAAATTTCATTTCGTTCGGGGGGGGTGGGGGGGGCGGTAAAAATTTTTTCGATGCCTGGAAGAAGCTCAGATCAGAGAGTAAATAATAAGGCCGGTAACTCGTTACATTGATAAGGGAAAATATTCGATCTAAGTGTTCATATGAGTAGATTCAGCAATAGATATATGCAATGTTATTATAAATAAGTAGATTACGGAAACTTTCAGTAAAACAAACCTTGGAAAAATTCACTTCACTACCAAAGTCCATACCGTGATATAAATTAATGTTATAACTGAATTATAAATGTTATAAAGTAACGTTATAAATATAAATTTCCACCTGTAGCAAATGTAGACGGAAATTTTTCATCTATCTCGGAGGTCAAATGTTTTTTGTTTTGTTTTGTAACCAAAAGATGGCTTTAGTTTACAACTTACCTTTTTTAAAGAGTGCAGTAAATAGAGGTACACCCTACTCGTCAATGTAACGTATAATACACGTGAAAAACAAACAGTAAAATACACAAACAAGACTTTAAGAAAACATAACACTAGCCGACATGTTGAGGAAAGCATATTATTGCTGGTAAGATGTTTTTTATTTTCGTAAGAAGCCAAACAAATACTGTATGTATTTATTTCTAGTATCTTCAACCAGTATGTGCATAAGTATAGTACTCGACAAGACCCGACAATAACTAGGGACAGGTGAAGTAGAGTTGCCCTGAATGTACAGAGCGGTATTCAAGTTAATGTATCTGTGCGTCCCAACTAGGCGTGTAAAGGAAGTAATTAGCCTGATTTCAGTAAGTTAATTAGGTGAAAGTTAATTACCGGACAGGTAAACACTTGATGAATAATGTCAAGGTCACTGGCACGATGACATGCACCGTGTCCTGTTTAATGGTGGATGAAAAGAAGGAAAAAGTTGTTGATAAATGACCACTAACCAGTTGCTCCCATAAACATAAACTAAATCTTTGAAAAGATTTTTAAATAAATACATGCACGATACTTTGTCAAGCCGTTTGTTAAATTATGTTCGTGTTTTTTTACATTAAAAAATAAAATAATACAAAACGTATTTAATTTTTTAAATCACTTTTAAAATATGGGAGGTGATGCTATATCGATTTCATTTCTTCGTCAAACTTGATTATCTCCCTTTAACATGTACATCTACGATATATGTAATGGTTACAGGTACATTTTACCAAGTTTCGTGGTTTTTTTTAAAGAGGAGAACAAACCAGGCTATAAACACGGGGTGTTTTAAACATTATACAGGACTATAAAAATGTTTTCCACACCTGCATATAACAAACTCTGCGTGTTTTTAAACTGCAAACAATATTGAATTTGGTTAGTGGAATTTTTCTATACAAATAAACTTAAACAAAAAATTTGAAAGAAAATATTTGACACATTACTACCCCAAGCACAACACCCCCCCCCTCCCCTCCCCCACACACCCATCTCCCTGGCCTAATAAAGTCTTGATAAAACGGTCAGAAAACATTTTGTTTCCTTTTGTGTATAATTATAACATACCTTTTGTAGTAGACATTTAACATGGACCGGATATAAAAAATAAGGAAAACAAATTTATTTTTTCATGAGGATCATTAATCTTTCAAGGGGAGGTTATAAGTAAGGGAGCATACACTTGTAGAACTTAAATAAAAAAACAGAAGGGTAAGTTGCAAATAGTTTTTTTTTTCTTTTTTTTTTATCTTATCTTCGTTCAAATGGACACAAACGAGAATATTCTCGAATTATATATATATATATATATATATATATATATATATATATATATATATATATATATATGTATATATTTAAATCATGTGCAATCTTATTAAAATAAATATGGTTTTAAAAACCTGACAATTTGGATTGTGTTAGAATTAACTAAAAATTTGATGCATTTGGTGTTTTCGTTTTAGTATTTTCGGTAACTAAACAAAGTTTTTAAAAAGCCAAAAACAATTGCGGCTGTTTTAATTTTGTTACATAAATTGTACATGTGCTTGGCAGAACTAGCCCATGCGGTTTAAAAAGTACATAAGAACAACATGAATAGTGAAATATTTTACAACAGAACCATTTATTATCATCTTCATTTTTTTCCCGTTTGTGCCCAAGACACATGAAGTATTTTATGACCTCGGCATACGAGGGGATAGTGTAGTCAACACTATGCCCAGCAGCCTTAGTTACCCTAATGTGAATTAGGCACCCATTAGAGCTGGGTGGACTCAGTGACGTTCTACTTAAACCCGTATTCGAACTCGAGACTCATGTGTTAGCTGTCTAATGCTCTATAGTTAGGCCACGCACAAAAAATGGCGATGAAGTGGTTTCGAAACCTTAAGCACAAGAAAATTAATGTGTAGTCCTCTATTCAGATTACCCTTGTATGTACACAACCATTCATATTGGTTTTAACTGTTCTATGTTTACACAGATATAACGCTTACCAGTATCACCATTCAAAATGTCCAGGAATTTCTCAGTCGCTTTTGTCGTCTTGATTTTGGCTGTCGTCTGTTACGGTGAGTCTCAACTACTTCATAGTGGCGTCAATGGGGCGGGGTTGGGGGGGGTGCGCATCGTGCCGGGTGACACCAAAACGAAAACTAGCTAATTTTTATGACAAAGTCATTTTTTCCGGTTAGTTCAATGACTCATTAGATTAAATCCGTAACTAGACGAAGGTTGAAATTGTCAAATATGTTGAGTATAGCATGTATATAGTTGTTGATGGTGGGGGATGGGGAGTGACACCCTGAGCTACCGCAAGGGGTGTCACCCGACTAGTGACGTCACTGCTACTTCCTGCGCATCAAATCACAGAGAGACTAAGTGGTTTAACTTCATGAAGAGATTAACCCTGCTTTTTCACTGTACAATTTGCTCTGGTGTCCCTATAATATTAAACATTTATTTTCCATTGTATTAATAAACGTTTTAGTTAGCTTTTAATCTTTGATAAGTACTTTAAAAGATTATGATTATCATAGTAATTATGATAGTAATGACAAGATTTTAATTTTTTTTTAAAGAAAACGGAAATCTTTAAGCTTTAATTACATTAACATTTGTCCCGAGTTCGAACCCCCGGCAGAAGAGGCTCGATAACTGTGGACAGCAACCCGCCTAAGAGAGACAACTCCAAAATCAAACTGCTGCCTTGTAGTTTGTTCTTGGTTGGACATAGGCTATGGAAGCAAATCCAAAAAGAAAAGCAGGCTGAAATCAGAGTCAACGGAAGGAATACCTTCCAACACTAAAATTAAAAACGAAGAAGAAGATAAAAAGAAGATTGATTTAAAAAATTCAACATCGCTTTATTAATTAAAATTTAAAAGTTATTCTATCAGTCCCAGCGGTGTATATGAGGTTTCTGAAGTAGAGTTCATAGTTTGTTTTTTCTTCTCTGAGTTTGAAATGAAAATGTGGTCAGCACAATGTTTTAATTCTTTGTGTCAGGAACTACGTGGGTTCGAACTCGAGACTTCCGGTTTAATGGCCGTGAGCTCTACATTAATTTCAAGTTTTCCATCAACAGCCGACATGAACGACCGCAGAGGCAAGCCACCCCGCTGCAGAAATCTGGCCTGTCCGTTGAACTATGACCCCGTGTGTGGCCGTGACGGGATCACCTACCCCAACATGTGTACCCTGGGGACAGCCAACTGTGACCGACCCCCCTACAGACCCGTGGGGCTGGCCAGCAGAGGGGAGTGCAAGAGGAGGGGACGGGATTAGTCAGGTACGTGGCTTCTGATGTCGGGGGTGGGAGGGGGGGGGGGGGTGGGACCATATTAGTCAGGTACGTGGCTTCTGATGTCGGGGGTGGGAGGGGGGGGGGGGTGGGACCATATTAGTCAGGTACGTGGCTTCTGATGTCGGGGGTGGGAGGGGGGGGGGGTGGGACCATATTAGTCAGGTACGTGGCTTCTGATGTCGGGGGTGGGAGGGGGGGGGGGTGGGACCATATTAGTCAGGTACGTGGCTTCTGATGTCGGGGGTGGGAGGGGGGGGGTGGGACCATATTAGTCAGGTACGTGGCTTCTGATGTCGGGGGTGGGAGGGGGGGGGTGGGACCATATTAGTCAGGTACGTGGCTTCTGATGTCGGGGGTGGGAGGGGGGGGGTGGGACCATATTAGTCAGGTACGTGGCTTCTGATGTCGGGGGTGGGAGGGGGGGGGGTGGGACCATATTAGTCAGGTACGTGGCTTCTGATGTCGGGGGTGGGAGGGGGGGGGGGGGGTGGGACCATATTAGTCAGGTACGTGGCTTCTGATGTCGGGGGTGGGAGGGGGGGGGGTGGGACCATATTAGTCAGGTACGTGGCTTCTGATGTCGGGGGTGGGAGGGGGGGGGGGGGTGGGACCATATTAGTCAGGTACGTGGCTTCTGATGTCGGGGGTGGGAGGGGGGGGGGGTGGGACCATATTAGTCAGGTACGTGGCTTCTGATGTCGGGGGGGGGGGGGATTAGTCAGGTGGGTGCCTTCTGATGTCGGGGAGGGGGGGGGGGATAAGTCATATACGTGCCTTCTGCTGTCGGGGGAGGAGGGAGGGACCAGATTAGTCAGGTCGGTGCCTTCTTCAGTCGCGCACAACATCTCATATTAATGTGGAAGGGGCGGTGGGGAAGGAGAGAGTATATTGGTAAGCATTGTTTCTTCCAGACCTTTTTCTCCGAGGGGGCATTTGATAATCTTCAGGGGAGGGGCGGACTAAAATTTTCGGGGTGGGGGGGGGGGGTGTTGGTGGGCGGACACGGTTTAAAGTATATATTTTCTATATTAATTTCAATCCGTTCGGGGGTGGGGGGTGGTAGACTTTCCTCCTCTCCCCTCCCCCCAACCCCCCCCCCCCCCCCCCCCTCCAATCTTCTAGAAGAGATGCCTAGAAGAAACTCTGGAATGATAAGTCGTGGCATAAAGTGTAATTAAGAAATCGAAAAATATGAAGTAAAATACAATTCAAAATTGGGGAGATAATTTTCTTCATAAACTCCATAAGAATATTTATAAACATCGCTTATTGTAAATTTACAAGGCATCTTCAGCTGTACATAATTATCCCAATTTTTGTTATTAAATGTGAAAAACTTGTCTCGAATTTTTTTTGTTAAAGTTCTGATTAAGGTATAGGGCTTTAAATATTCAGCGGATAATACGACTTTATTTCAAGCTTTTTTGTGTATTTTTGTATCTCTGCTCAATTACTTTACTTAAAGTACTTGAACTGTGACAAAAATTGAACTGTATATTGACTTTCAGTTTATTTTATGCAGTAGAAGTTTTTAAAGTTGTTTTATTCAAATACCTTGACTTAATGGTGGAGACCCTCTGTCTATTCGTTTAATAAATTCAATAAACTTTGTTTTTATTTCAACAGAATCAAATAGTCCTCCACAATGATGCTAAATGTGTAGACCAAAGTGTCCAATAGCTACACAAGTTGTCAAAGAACGATAATTCTATAGGCCTATAGAAGATTATTATTCGTTTCGTTTTACTGTCATTGCGTGTGTGTGTGTTGCATGTGAATAAAATCGGGAAAAAAGAAATACAAAATTTCGTAAAGTAGGATATTTTCTGCTTTCAAATTTTATCTATGTAGATGTATGTATGTGTGCATGTTTTTGAATCTTTTTAATATGTTATCCATTTTTTAAATTTCCAGTGAGATCATAACTGTTTTTTACCACTTAAACATTTTTTTAGTTATTTTATTTTTACTTTTAACCCTAAACTAAACAGGTTGTTTACACACTAGTTTTATTATTTGTCCAATCCTGTAACGATCAATTGTAATAAAATGATCCATGGCATTTTTTGATTCAGATATCGTTGTGTTACGTCCAGATATCGTTGTGTTCCTTCCAGATATCATTGTGTTCCTTCCAGATATCATTGTGTTACGTCCAGATATCGTTGTGTTACGTCCAGATATCGTTGTGTTACGTCCAGATATCGTTGTGTTACGTCCAGATATCGTTGTGTTACGTCCAGATATCGTTGTGTTACGTCCAGATATCGTTGTGTTACTTCCAGATATCATTATATTACGTCCAGATATCATTGTGTTATGGGCAGATATCATTATGTTACGTCCAGATATCATTGTGTTACGTCCAGATATCATTGTGATACGGTCAGAATCATTGTGTTACGTCCAGATATCCGTGTGTTACGGCTAGTTACAACGTTTTATTTTCTCACCCAATGGAGGATCAACCAAAACAGATGTACTGAAACGCAAAAGACTCTTCAAACATTTCATCCGTAAAGACATGAGATTGGGAGATACACATGTTAGAGTCAATGCCAGAAGTCGGTCAATTCTCGCATTTGACCAGTATCACCTTCAATCGTATTGTTCATTCCACATTTGAATTCGATTTAAAGAACCAACTTTCTTTTAATTATGCATTGTGTTTTGTTGATCCTGTTTCTTAGTAGTAGATGTTTTATATTGAATTGGGAGCTCATCTTGATAAACAGCAACAGCACAATGCCAACAAAATAGAATATCGTGTAACATATTTAAAACCACTACTTTTGTCGAATAGATATCTGTCAGCTCCTGGTGTTTCACTGACGTTTTCTTCATTAGCTCCTTGGTTTACAAAAAGACCTTCGATGTCAACAAGTAAAATTTTAATTCTTTTTTACCAAAGTACGCAGTAGAGGACACAGTAAGTTCACCTACATGCCACACCCCTCGCTCGGCCTCATTTATTTGATTGTAATAACATTTGACTCGGTCAGCAAAACTTTAATTACCCTGATGCTTATTTACTTAAAGAAAAGATGTCGAGAACACATAAAACACAAACCGGATATCAACACCATGACAAAACAAAATAGTTTTTTACCATTTGAATAGTTAATCTTTCAAGGGGAGACTATAAGAAGGGAAGTAAACGCTGGTGTAACGTTACTTAAAGCGGAAAGGGTAAGTTACATCATACATCATACAATATATATATATATATATATATATATATATATATATATATATATATATATATATATATATATATATATATATATATATATATAAATGGATTTTTTTCTTTTACCCAACAGGTTTCGTGCAGACTACAGAGCATTACAGGATATTCGCACAAAATGAACAGCCTATTTTCCACACTTACCGTCTTGATGTTGGCTGTTGCTAGTTACGGTGAGATCAGTGGCGGAACTAGAAGAAAAAGCCCCCACCCCCCTCTCTTCTACATCTTTTTCTTGGTTCCAAATTCTAGTGATGGAAGAGATTATGTATTACGTGTCAATAGGTTATGCGCCATATAGGCCGTTGACACCAATTTCAGCCTGCTTTTCTTTTTGGATTTGCTTCCATAGCCTTTGCCCAACCAAGAACAAACTACAAGGCAGCAGTTTTTTTTATTATTTTGGAGTTGTCTCTCCTAGAAGAGTTACTATCCCCATTCATCGAGCCTCATCTGCACCAGGGTTCGAACTCCGGACTTAAACGAACGGACCACGCCGACAACAGAGCTTAACACGTTTAAGGCCTGAAGTAATCAAATTGAAAACGTCATTATTTCATTTTATGCCCGTTGAAAATTATAAATAGCGTGACTTCTTATCTGGCAAGTCGGTCAAAAGATAATGAAACTTGGAAACTTGATATTTGTAATGATCTCCTATGTTCGTTTTATTCGTCTGTTGTTTTTTTTTTTTTTTTAATTTATAAGTTTTGATAAATTTCATTGTATAGCTATGTCATTGAGTAGTATATTTAAAAAATAATTAAGAGAATAAATTACTTTTTGATTTGCTTAGTGCAAAACTATTTATGGGCGCCATTATTAGAATATTTATAGAAGAGCAATAAATCATGGAAGTTTTGTGAAGATCTTCCACTCTTTCACAATAAAGCTGATGTAAATTGTTTGAAAATTTATCTACGAAACAGCGTATATTATTTACCGAGGAACAATCACTACGCAAAAGATTTTTTTTTTACAAAACCTTTGTCGCGGAGCAAAATAATTAATTCTATTTGTTGTTTTTTTGGTCGGATTTTGGCCCCTTAAACGATCTGGGCCACTACGCGTTGCGGGGCATGACGGAATGATGATTCCGCCCCTTGCGGATTGGTAGTTCCACCCCTTGCGGAAATGTAGTTCCGCCCCTTGCGGAAATGTAGTTCCGCCCCTCGGTTTTGAAAGCAGCTGATAATCAGGAGATAAACCGTGGTGTTCACACTTGCCAATTGTATAAGTGGTGTGTTCTAGGAAATACACTGCAATAGAAGATGGTTTGTGTCAATTAAAAATAACACGTCCAGGTTTACCTCCCCTCACTTCAGTCAGGTACCCATCTTTGGCTAGTGGAAGGGCGCTTAACTTACTCAAGTCATATTCATCAGTCATGTTTATCAGTCATGTTTATCAGATGTTTATCAGTCATGTTTATCAGATGTTTATCAGTCATGTGTTCCACCTCTCGACAACGCAGTCCCACATTTAGTATTTCAACTTCTTTAACTTCACATTTTTCAGCAGCAACCGTGCCCCGTTGCCTTGACCTCAACTGCCCTTTGCACTACGACCCCATGTGTGGGATGGACGGGGTCACCTACCAGAACCCTTGTACCCTGGGGATTGCCAATTGTAACATCCCACCCTACACCGCCGTAGGTTTGGCCTACAAAGGAAAGTGCGGAAGGAGACTGCGAACACGCAGGTAGGTCACCTATACTGTAGGCTTATACCCGTTTTGTTCAGACATTTTGGCGCCATGGTGTTCTCGTTCATTCCCTACCCCCCCCCCCCCCCCCAACCCCCCACCCCACCCCCTAACCTTATATTAGAAATACCCAAGTCAAATTTTTTACATTGGTAATTATGATTCTACAGCTATAGTACAGCATTAAATTTGCGACATATACGTCAGGCAAAAGCTGTTCTAAAATTGATTTTCTATAAAAAAAAATTATAAATTTCTTAATCTATTGTTTAACAATTTTCCGAAACCGTTCATAAAAATATTTGAAACTGGGCATAAAATTTCCTAACGTTACACTATTTGCCGAACTATTCATACGCATTCTATTCAATTTTGAACTGTTTGAGCAGTTTTGAAAATCTCATATCATACTCACATCCCTAGGTCTCCTATTATTTAGAAACGAGCTGACCCGAGACGTAGTATACGCCGAGATCTAGTTGTTTTATTTTCTGCTTATCAGCAATTCATAATTTGTGAATTCAACACAACCACATCCCGCCCCCCCCCCCCCTCCCCGCCCAGTAAAAGCAGCCGTTTAGAGACAAAAATAACATCAATCAGAAATGGTTGCCTCCCCTTCGTTTCAAATCGTTTAATACTAAATCATCTGCCACTAATAGCCGTCACTAAACCGGCTCTACGATTGTTAACATTCGGGGTGAACCACAGCTCACCTGACAGGTGGGGATGAGGGTGTCAGCTAAGCTGCGTTTGTGTTGTCTATGGTCTCCATGAAGAGAATTATATATATATAGATACTTTTGTTATGAGCCATATTGTAAGAATACTATTTTGTCTAGTTTTTGCAAGTAACCCATTTTATCTTGGACTTTTTTTTAAAAATTGGGTAGTGCCTCATTGTCAGAAGTAGCTTCGTTTGGAATGAACATGGTGGGGCCTATTAAACAAGGATGATGTGCTGAGGTCGTTTCTTCAAACGTCTTAAGTTAGCAGACTTGCAATACCAGGTATGCATAAACAGTAACGCCGAATGTTTTGTTTTTTTTTTACTGAACATAGCATTATAGAGGTATTCAAAGATGTCAGATTTTACCGTTCACCCCCTTATTCCACGTCATGTTGGGGATCCGTCTGTGATGACGTCACAAACCCTCTTTAAACAACAGTAGTATATCATATGTTACATGTTTTTTTTTTTTGACAATTCCCATATCACTCATATGGGTATGTGGTACCAACATTTTAACAACAAAATTTATTTAAAATGTGTCTGAAAAATGGAGACATGGAAGTCGACCATAAATAACATAACGCACTTTAGTTGTGGAGTGACTGATTTTTTTAGACGTTTTACATGAGACGGGGATGTTTGAGAACTATGACGTGGCATGAAAACATTTATTTCCTACAGATTTATGACCAGCCCTCTTAACATACACTATACAATATTATTTATAAGAGTAATACCCTGCTGGATTAAACTATTATTTTTAACACCGATTTAAATTTTTTTTTTAAATATTTAAAATTGTAACAACTTTTAAAACCAACTTTCTTTTCTTTTGTTGAATAGTCGTAAATATAGTGCTGTTGTTAGCTTGTATTTAAATATTACCTACGACTGTATGACATAGGCCTTGCTTCTATTAGTATAATTTGTTTAATAAGTTGTCATCTAATTTCGCAGATGTTTCTTTTCGCCATAAACAGCATTTCCAGTTACACAAGAATCGAAAATTTAATGGAGGGGAATTGATTCTGAATTTAATTTACCTCAAATCTTGTATGTAGTAACATTTGGAAAATTTACGATAAAATAAAGTGTTCCGTGAATTATGCTTTTATTTGTTGGCTTTTTATTTACTCTTTTAATTTTTTGTTTTGTTTTGATATTTCTTCTATTTAGTGTTTTTACATTACTCTTACCCTTATATAATTTTTTTTCGCTTTATTTTGGTATTTCGTCTATTCAGTGTTTTTTGTATCACACATTAATGTTACCCTTAAAACACAATACACTAATGTTACCCTTAAAATACAACACACTAATGTTACCCTTAAAACACAACACATTAATGCTACCCTTAAAACACAACACACTAATGTTATCCTTAAAATACAATACATTAATGTTTCCCGTAAAACACAAGCACTGGTTTACTTTCGTGTAGTTTGATGTCTCCATGTACACATACACATGAACACACCTTCCTTTTCTAACAGCCAGCAGTCAGTTATAACAACATTTTGTCTGTTGTCATGTAGAGTTGGACTTTGTTGTGCTACTATGGGCTATTGTCCAATGGCAGTGTCAGATGGCTTTTGCTATTGCATGACTACGTTTCTACGTCTCTGTGCGTGTTAGCCTTTCATTGATCACTTTACTTTGGGCATAGAAATTCGATCACGAAAAGAGTTGGAGAGGAATCAACGTTTATCTCATTCCTAAGTTAGTTGGTCTATCTGGAAAAAGATGGGGGGAAAAATTCTTAAATACATAAAACTAAGCTTAGCAAAGACTAATTATAATATGCGGCTACCCACCCACCTTCACCCCTCCACCCCCTTCCATCCCGCAATTTCAGTTCCCAAACTAACATAGCTTCTCTATGTGAATGGTAGTATCTTTTAAAACGTTTTTCTTAACTCAGCTTCGCGTTTGTTATTTTAACACGTTTTTATTAACTCAGCTTCGCGTGGATGTGTTTGTTGTTAAAATTGACATCGAAAATTAGCCCACTTCTGATTGCTCTATAGATCTGAAATTTGGCATGCAGGTTACTTTCGCCTAACAATTTCAGATGCAATCATAAAAACTAGCAATTAGAGACCGTAATTAGCTTAATTTAATTACGCCCAAAGGACCATAAAATTGAGGACATGATTTCTAAAGATACCGACAAGACTGGAGGCTTGTTGACACAGTTACTTCGGCCCCAATCGATGTGAGCGCGCTGGCCGTGATCGTATAGTGGTTAGTACTTCGCGTTGTGGCCGCGACAACCCAGGTTCGAATCCTGGTCGCTCAAGATTTTTTTAGTCCGTGTATTTATAAACACTTAGTCAATTCATACTTAATCAAGTCATTAGATAAAGTAGAAAATAAACTATATAAAAAACTTTTTTAAAAACCACGTTTTTCATGTGTAGCAACGGACTAAAAAGGAGAAAATAAAATACTTAAAAAAAACTTTTTAAAAAACCACGTTTTTCTTGTGGACTAAAAAGTAGAAAATAACTATTTACATACATTTGATGACAAAAAACGTGGGTCGGGCAGATGGGTCGGGAAATTTGATGGTGAACGTACCCACGTTTTTTGTCATCAAATGTATGTAAATAGTTATTTTCTACTTTTTAGTCCACAAGAAAAACGTGGTTTTTTAAAAAGTTTTTTTTAAGTATTTTATTTTTTGTTTGTTTGGTTGTTTGGATGTTTGTTGTTAAAATTGACATCGAAAATTAGCCCACTTCTGATTGCTCTAGAGACCTGCAATTTGGCATGCATGCTACTTTCGCCTAACAATTTCAGATGCAATCATAAAAACTAGCAATTAGTGACCGTAATTAGCTTAATTTAATTACGCCCCAAGGACCATAAAATTGAGGACATGATTTCTAAAGATACCGACAAGACTGGAGGCCTATTGACACAGTTACTTCGGCCCCAATCGATGTGAGCGCGCTGGCCGTGATCGTATAGTGGTTAGTACTTCGCGTTGTGGCCGCGACAACCCAGGTTCGAATCCTGGTCGCTCAAGATTTTTAGTCCGTGTATTTATAAACACTTTTTTAAAAACCACGTTTTTCATGTGTAGCAACGGACTAAAAAGGAGAAAATAAAATACTTAAAAAAAACTTTTTAAAAAACCACGTTTTTTATGTGTAGCAACGGACTAAAAAGGAGAACGGACACGGTAACACATTGTTAACGGTGACACGGTTGGTACGCTGGGCATGCTAAAATACACATAAACACGTTTTTCCTTAACTCAGCTTCGCGTTTATTTGTTTTTTTAAGGGAGATTTGATCACTTGATTCGTGAGTAGATCTCCACGCCAGCAACGTAAATTACACCCTTTCTCTGTTTAAAGCGTATCGGTCGCTCAAGATTTTTTTAGTCCGTGTATTTAAAAACACTTAGTCAAGTCATACTTAATCAAGTGATTAGATAAAGTAGAAAATAAACTATATAAAAAACTTTTTAAAAACCACGTTTTTCATGTGTAGCAACGGACTAAAAAGGAGAAAATAAAATACTTAAAAAAACTGTTTAAAAAACCACGTTTTTCTTGTGGACTAAAAAGTAGAAAATAACTATTTACATACATTTGATGACAAAAAACGTGGGTACGTTCACCATCAAATTTCCCGACCCATCTGCCCGACCCACGTTTTTTGTCATCAAATGTATGTAAATAGTTATTTTCTACTTTTTAGTCCACAAGAAAAACGTGGTTTTTTTAAAAGTTTTTTTTAAGTATTTTATTGATCGTTTGTTATTGCCTTTTGGGGGAAAAAGATAATCCTTACACAAAGCAACCGTCGCTTAATGCCACGAAATACTAGAAGAATTAACTAACAACTTACACTACAAAATATACATTTATGGATTCAATATGCTGTATGATTGTTTGTTATTATTGTTAACGTCGTTTTATATTTCGAAAAGAAATAGAGTACGTTAAAACGTGTAGCAATGTTTCTCCACTTGGCATGGTCTTATGGTAGAGCATATGACTTCTAACCCAAAAGTCTCGAGTTCGAATCCAGGTTAAAATCAGTAGTCCACCCAGCTCAGCTCTGTACCTAACTCACGCTAGGGAATGCAAAGCACACTGGGCATAGTGTTAACCACACTATCCCTTCATATGCTGAGGTCTCTGAAACAGATGAACTCTACTCTATCTGCCCCGTGTGTCTTTCACGAACGGGAAACGATGATGATGATTTATTTAATTTCTTATCACAAAACGTTTAAGTCCATAGGTGACCATTTTGATGTGTTATATTTCTGTTTTCGACCTACTTTTAATCCCCCACCCCCCAACCCACCCTCGTATACATTAAAAGCATTGCCCTCTCCCATACGCTAAATATTTCACTAGAACAAACTCTTTGAACATCCGCCATTAAAGTAAGTACCTACTGTGTATTCTCTAACATAATCCTAGCATGTAAAGCAACTGATCCAACTAGACACTATTTTGATGAGGCCAAACCCGTCTATGGCTTAACACAAGCAAAAACTAAACTCGTCTTACAATCTGTTGCCTGTTCAAACTAAACTCGTTAACGGTTTACACAAGGACATCGATTTAAACCGTTGAAATCATTGTATTACACCAACATGGTGAGAAGCCTCACATTAGGATTTGTTGTTCTTCTGTATGTCTTCGGCGTGCTTTGTAAGTAGAACGACGACATAATCATATTTTTGTTGAGATAAATAGTCTCCAAAAATTATGTTGGGTGTTTAGCATTTGGTTAAGTAACAACTCGGGGGTGCACCTGATGTATCGGTTTCAACTCCATAGATTATGGCCAGTGTATATGAAAATATACATCAATATATATATATATATATATATATATATATATATATATATATATATATATATATATATATATATATACATATATATAAATAAATAAATAAATAAATAAATAAATATATATATATATATATATACATATATATATATATATATATATATATATATATATATATATATATATATATATATATATATATATATATATATATATATATATATATATATATATGCGTGTGTGCGCTTGTGTGTGCGTGTGTGTGCACGTGCGCTATTAAAATACTCATTAATTGGGCTAGCAAGAGAAAGCCAATTACATTCATTCGGTCACTCACAGGTAATGGTTTTTTTTCAGTAGGATATTGTCCTATACTTATTATAGTTGGTCACTAATCACCAATGTTTTTTATCAGCAGGACAATGTCCTATCATGTGCTTATAACGGTTGTTTATAAACCACCGATGTGCTTATATCAGCATGACATTGTCCTGTATCATGCTTATTACAGTAGTTCACAAACCATCAATGAACTTTCATCATCAGGTCAACGACCTTTCATGTGCGTGTTCCTTAACGGTCCGTGCACCGCCTTCCCCCGTACGGTGTGTGGCACCAACAGTGTCACCTATAGCAGCCAGTGTGAGCTCTACAAGGCCGACTGCTCACGCCTGTCCACGGAGGGGAGTATCAAGTTTGCTCACGTGGGCAAGTGCATCACACCGGTTTAGATGACGTCAGCACAGTGTGTTGTGTGACGTAATGATGTTGGTGCGTGTCATTGACGTCAAAGTTTGCGGCGTTTAAATGCACATGTGTTATTGTTAACAGATGTGACAATCTTGATAACATAATTTTTGTCAACCCATTGTCAACCTATTGTCAACCTACTGTCAACCCAAGGTTAATAAATCGTCACTATTGTTATGATAGCTGTCAAATATCAAGTGTGAACACTTTTATTACTGGTGTCAATAAATATAAAATTGATATCAATAAATATAACATTGATGTCAATAAATATAACATTGATGTCAATAAAATATAACATTGATGTCAATAAATATAACATTGATGTCAATACATATAACATTGATGTCAATAAATATAACATTGATGTCAATAAATATAACATTGATGTCAATAAATATAACATTCATGTTAATAAACATAACATTATGTCAATAAATATAACATTGATGTCACTATATATAACATTGATGTCAATAAATATAACATTGATGTCAATAAATATAACATTGATGTCAATAAATATAACATTGAT